TAGATCCCTGTGCCTTGTTCTGTCTGTAACTTCCGGGGGGGGGGGAAGGGCTGCACATGACCTCCCTCTAAGGGGCACTGGGAGGTGCTGGCGGCCTTGTAGAGGTAATGATCCCCCATGTGGCCATACCCGGTCACAGGGTGATTGATGAGACACGGGAAGAGCGGGGGCGGTCTGGTGTCCCACAAGTGACATTTGGGTATCGCCGAGCAGGTATAGCCTGGCTGGCTACAGACAAGCTAGGAACGGGGGCTGGGCTGGTTCCCAAAGGGTAATGGGGTCCTCATTCTCCTTGTCGCCAGGGCTACCGCCGGGCATCTGTCCACCTCCTCAGAAGCCAGCTGGACGTGGACAGGTCAATAAGCAGCCAGGCAGAGAGACAGGCAGAGCCACGGCCTCAGCAGCCCGTGACGGAGGACGGGCGGGGATGGGAGCCCGGCCGGGCCAGGCCCCGTCACCACCCCGGGGTCCCAGGGTTGGAAGGAGTGCCCTCCACTCCTGCCTGTCCTGAGTGGCTGTAATCACAGCCTCCCTCCTGCTCCTCTCTCTTACACTCTTAGGGACTGAGAAAGAGAATCTGGGGTGCCAGCCTGGTGTGGTGCAGTCCACCAGGGGGTCTGGGGACTGGGCATGGTCTCAGTGGGTCTGGGGAGGGCCTCAGGGCTGGACTGAGGGCCTGTACAGGTGGCAGGATGACCCACAGCAGGTGGACTTCCGGTGAGGCATACCGGAATACCTCGGTATGTCCAACATCTCCTCTAGTTTCCACCAATAAAGCAGTAGCCCCAGCCAGGCAGGGCCTGCGCTTGGAGGAGCCTGTTTATGTCAGGGGTTCACGTACCTTAGGGGTGCATGGGCTTCTCATCCACTGTTTTGGCATCACAGGTTTTGTTTTTCTTTCAGCAGTGCTGGAGTTTGAACTCAGGGCTTTGCTCTAATCATGGCTGGTGCTCTACTACTTGAGCCACGCACCTCCACTTCTGGCATTTTGCTGGTTAATTGGAGAAAAGGGTCTATTGGATTTGTCTGCCAGGGCTGGCTTTGTTTGAACCGAGATCCTCTGCTCTCAGCTAGGATGAGAGGTGTGAGCTACGGGCACCGGGCTACTAATTCACTTTTAATGATCCTCCATTCCCTGGATTTCAGCTTACTGCCGAACCAGGAGGGAAAGAGTACTGGATTGTGTGGGTTTAACCTTTCCAAAGGCATCCTCTGTATATCACTGAAGAATAGCGGCAGCCTTCTCCTTTCGCAAAAATATATTTCATAAAGTAAAGGTGCAATAAACGTTTAACAGGGAACTCCGAAGGTGATTTCATCTTGGCTCTCCGGCAGCATATTTATTTTCCCGCCTTGCATCTCTGATCCTGGTGAGGGCATTTTCTGTAGGTAGGGGAACAGGGGGCCCTGGACACCCTCAGCGGGGGGGGGCTGGGCTGGCACATGGGGGACACTCCACAAAGATGGAGTTGAATCCTCTTGTCCAGGGGCAGTGTGGAACTCCTGGGAACTAGCAGCTTCCGGGACTGAGAATATCCAGGAAGCTCTAGGATCAGGAAGCCGATGGATATCTGTTCTGGGCATCCTTGATGGCTTTTGTCTGGGGACCAAGCTGGGAGCTAGGGTTTGAACCCAAGGCCTTGGATGCTAGGCAAGCGCTCTGCCACTTGAGCCATGCACTGTGCCCCTCTAGATGTGTGTGTGTGTGTGTGTGTGTGTGTGTGTGTTTCCCCCTGATATAGTTTTGGACTCTTGATCCTCCTTGTCTCAGCTTCTCAAATAGCTGGGATTACAGGCATGTTGCCACTGCACCTGACTCTCTGGTGATCTTCACTTGATTGCTCTCTATGGATGGTAATTTAAAACCACCCCTCACGCTTGCACAGCATGTGAATGGGCTGAACAGAGACCCCCTGAAGTTCCCAGGGTTTGTGGCACAGCCCCCACCCCCCGGCGTCACAGATTGTGTCTGTATTCACACAAGGGACCTCGAGATAAATAATCCCATGACATCATAAGGCTGGATGGACCTCCGTCTGGGTGAGTTCTGCGGTTCCAATCATTCCTGTGGTCTCGCATCGCGGCCAACACATGATGCTCTGTCTCCCCTCTGCGTTATTACATCCTCACAACTATCACTGCTGGAAAGGGGAAACTGAGGCCCAGCCAGGGAAGTGACTTGTCCCCAGGCACCAAGAGGTGGGAGACACTGGGAGGGCCCGGCTGGTCCCCAAGGGTTTGTGGGTTCCCTCCCCCCCCCACCATATGTCCCAGCTTCAGCTAGTGAGTGTGGGTGACCTCGGGGAGGGGCAGAGAGCCGGTGGAATGGAGCAAGGGCTCTTGCTTGCCCATGGTCTGGCCCTGTCCCTCCCTTTGGACCCCATGCCCCACCCCAGCAGTCCACTGGAGAGTGCGAGCAGCGGGTCACAGACAGACGCGACGCAGGTGCACAGAAGCCAACTTTATTTTGGACGGACAGACCATGCACACGGGGAGCCGCCCGCCACGGCAGGGCAGGCCTCCTCCAGACCCCGTCTTGCCTCTTGAGGGTGGCTGGGGCGCCTGGCTCCAGACGGAGGATGCCAGGGAACCTGGCTGGTCTCGATCTTCTCTCCAAGGCTTGTGGAGTCCGGCCATCGTCCACGGCGGCCACGGTCCCAGGAGGCTGGAAGGAGATGCAGGGTGGAGCTGGAGAAGGACGATGCCGTGGGCTGGGCTTGTTTGGTTTACTAAGACGGGGTCTCACTGTGCAGCCCTTAATGGGTTGGTAGTAGCCCATGTGGGAGCGTGCTTCAGCATGGTAAGCTGGGGATGGGTGGGACGGGAGGGCCCCGGGCAGGTGGCTGCAGGCCAGTGAGCTGCCCGTGTGTTTTAGAAGCCTGGTTGCCGGTTTGGTGGCACACTATTAGAAACCAGAGGAGGTAGGGCAAAGTGGGGGGGGTGGTCTTCTCGTCCTTGGGATCATATCTGCCTTGGAAAGCACTGAGCGTTTCCTCTTTCCCTCTTTTCTGCTGGGTAGCCCAGAGGTAAATAGATTTGTAATGCAGTGCTGCTGAGATCAACGCTCTCTCTCTCTCCTCTCTCTCTCTCTCTCTCCCTCCCCCCTCCCTCCCTCTCATTGGTTGTGGGGCTTGTGGTCTAGGCTCTCTCTGTCCCTGAGCTCTTTTGTTCAAGGCTAGCGCTCTACCACTTGAGCCACAGCAACACTTCTGCTTTTTGGTGGTTCACTGGAGATGAGTCGCGTGGACTTGGGTGCTCTGGCTGGCGATCCTGAGATCTCAGCCTCCTGAGTAGCTAGGATGACAGGTGAGAGCCAGTGCTGCCGGCAAACCTTTTCTTTTTTGAAATGTGACTGCCTCGGGTGTTTGCGACAGGAGCAGCAAACTGACTGAGACAGGACCCAAGTTTCCAAGGGTGAAGTAGCCCCCGGGGGTAGATGAGTTTCCACTGCTTGCTAGGCCCCAAGTGACAGGAGTCGGGCATTTTTATTAAACCCACGATGGTGCTTGTCCAGCTGGGGGGCTGCAGGCCTGCTGGCCCAGGCCTCATAGCTGCTTACAGTTTGGGACAGGACCCACAGTGTTGGGGTGGGGGGTGGGGAGGGACAGGTGTTGTGACTCATGCCTATAATCCCAGCTACTGGGGAAGGTGCGAGTGGGCAGCTCACAGTCCCCAGGCTAGGCAAACATATGTGAGGCTCGAGCTGAAAAATCCGTAAAGTAGCAGGGACACAGTAGGCGGGTGTTCTGTGATTGGTGAGAGCCTCGCTCAGGGGCGGGCAGAGGACCGGAGCTTTACAGAAAACCAGAGGCAGAGACAAGATGTTCCCTGGGGCCGCGCACTAAGTACCATTCCCCTCCCAGGCACCGTGGCCTTTACTTGGCCTTTGAAATGGCTTCTCTGCGTCCCAGAGAGCGTAATAATGCAAATGAGTATCAGAGCTCTACTCTGTAATTGAGAGCAGAGAGAAGGCCGTGTTAAGCCAAATTAATTTGGTCTGATACACTCCGAACTTGTCCCCCGTGGAAGGGCTAAGACTTCGGCGGGCTGAAGGTGCAGGTGTGTGCCGTGGGGGTGGTGGGGCTCGTGGGGGTCAAGGCTGAGCCACAGGGCCACCTGAGCCTGGAGTGCAGAGGTTCAGGGGCAGAAGCTGGCGGCCTTCGTGGTCCATTCTCACTGCCAGTCAAGGTGAAGATGGTTGTTACCGATTGTGTGTCAGTATTGGGGTTTGAACTCAGGGCATACCAATCATACTCTATCATTTGAGCTATACCTCCAGCTTGGCTTTTTTTTTTTTTCAAACTGGCTAATTGGAGATAATAGTCTCATCAGTGTTTCTAACCAGGCTGGCCCTGAACCACAGTCCTCAGGATCACAGCCTTCCTGAGTGGCTGGAATTACAGACAGGAGCCATGGCCCCTGGCTTGGGCTCTACTGGGTCTCACTGATGGCCCGACATGGCCCTCTGAGGGGCCGCCACGCTATCCTGGCTCTCTCATCACGCACGTGGTAGAATATCACACAGTGCCCGAGACCCCAGCCGGGAAGGGGTTAAAAAAGTGAGACTCCAGCCCGGCACTGGTGGCTCAGGCCTGTCATCCTAGCTACTCAAGAGGCTGAGATCTGAGGATCCTGGTTCAAAGCCAGCCCAGGGCAGGAATGTCCCTGAGACATTCGTCTCCAATGAACCACCAGAAAACCTGTTGTGTGCTAGCCTTGAGCACAAAGAGGCTCAGGGACAGTGCCTAGGTCCTGAGTTCAAGCCCCAGGACAGGAAAAAAAAAACAAGTAAGACTCAGCTGGGGAAAGCTGTACCAGCCACGCTCTGTAGCCACCTCCTGGAAGCCCCTCTTGCTTTATGATGCTTCTTTCTGCACTGCAAAACACAACCCAAACCTCTCAAAGACCGGATGAAAGGCATCTATCTGCCTGATTGGGATGGTGAGCTGGGGGAGGGGGAAAGCACTCTTGGATCTTGAGGCTGTTACCTGCTCCGAAGCCTACTTCTGGAGGTATTTCTTCATGATGCTCTCTACATCCTCATTTCTCCCCGTGGCGCCCGGCTCTGGGCGATACGGTGACGTGCGTTCCCCGCCATCGCCCTCAGGCCGCGGGAGGGACAGCCGACTCTTGGCACTGGGGTTACTTTTGAGGGACACGATGGAACTGGAGGAGTCGGAGGAGTCGGAGAGGTGCGCGGGGTCCCCCTGGGACCCGGGGCTCTTTTGCACGATGGTCTTGATCCCAGAGACAAAGGAGGGGTCGGCCTCTTCCGTCTCAAAGGGGACACTGGGGTGCTGCTTGTCTTTGGCTGCTCCGGCCGAGGACGGAGGGGTGGCGGGCTTCCGGATGGCCGGCAGGAAGTCATCGAAGCCCCCCGGGGCCTGGTGTCCATAAGGGAGGCCCGGAAGCTTCCAGCTGAAGGGGTCGCCGCCGCTGAGGGGTTCCTCCATCAGGTGGGCGAACTGGCGGTTCTGGAAGACCAGGGGTTCGGTCCCCAGTTCCAAGGTGCCCGCGTCGTCCACCGAGGCCTCCAGACACCGCCTCCGTGGACGCAGGGAGGGCGACCGCAGCGGGTCCCGGGGTGCGCCGGCGGGGCTCAGCTTTCTCCCGGACTCCAACAGGGATTCGCAGGAGCTGAACCTGGTCTTCGTCCTCTCCGGCAGCAGCTCGGTGCCCGCGGTGTCCCCGGAAGGGATGCACTTGAGACTGGCACATCGCAGCAGCCCGGAGGCCCCGGCGGCTTCCGGGGGAGACGGGGAGGCCCCCATCCCCAGGGAGAGGGCCCCCTCGTCGCTGCTGGCCCTGCCCCTCCGCAGCGTGGAGGCCCCAGTGGTCTGGTAAATGGGCAGCGCGGGCCAGTCCTCGAGGTGCAGCGGGGACCCCCGGCCCCCTCTCTGGACCCTTTTCCTGCGGAGGCCTTCCACGAACTCCGAGAGAGCCGCCGAGGGGCTGGGCAGCTTGTCCCTGGGCAGCGGGGACCGAGGCGGGCTCGGGGAACCCAGCGAGGGGGACAAGGATCCGGGTCTCTCGGAGGCCTTCCTCTGGTCCCCCAGATGGCAGGGGGAACGGGGAGACACGCCGTCACCTCGCGAGGCCCGGGGCTCACTCTCCCAGGCTCTGCCCAGCGCCGCCGTGGCTGGGGTGGATCCCATGTCATCTCGGGTCTCCTCTTTCGTCCTGTGGCGGAAGAACAATGCAGCCTTTAGAAACGGTGCAATCCACCCAGCCAGGAGCTGAGATTTGCGGCTCTGGGGATGCCCTACAATGCCCCAGGGAACCGGGTGTGATTTCACGAGCAAATGGGAGCTCGGTGAGCGGCTCCTTGTGGCTGTCCATATGCAATACCTGTCTTAATTATGTCCTCCAGAGTTGGCCAGGAGCTGGGGGCTCCCGCCTGTCATCCTAGCTACTCAAGAGGTTGAGTTCTGAGGATCACAGTTCAAAGCCAGCCTGGGGGATGGTGCAGGAAATGTCCATGAGACTCTTAGCTCCAATGAACCAGCAAAAAAAAAGCTGGAGCTGTGGCTCAAGTGGTAGAGTGCTAGCCTGGAGCAAAAAAAAAAAAAAGCAAAAACAAAACCCCTAAAGGATGATGCCCAAGCCCCAAGTTCAAGCTCAAGGACCAGCACAACCTCCCTCCAGCCAACAAAAATATAAACAAAACAACCCAAATCCATCCATGAGAGCACAGAAGGTTTCTATTCTAGGACCCTGCCAGCTCTGTGTACTTTATGTAGAGAGAGTTTGGAGCAGCTAAAGCCAGAAGCACGTTGCCTGGGGAAAAGCAGGAGCCTCTCAGAGAGGTAAAATTAGACTAAAATAAAGGACATCATTTAAAGGAGACAGGACACCATCCATCAGTCATTCCTTTAACAAACCAGAGCTCTGTGTGCTCCATCTAAGAGAACCCACCCTGCTCCATCCGCCAGCTAAATCCCAATTTATATATTCAAACAAATGAACAAATGCAGGAATGCCAGAGTTGGACAATGCAGACCGAGCTGTGGCCCAGGACTGCGGAGCGGAGGAGAGCCAGAGATCCGGAGGCAGACAGGTTTCCAGTGATCAGCCCAGGGGCACCAGAGCCAGGACCAGAGCCAGGGCGATCAAGGAGCTGGCTTTCATCACGAGGCTGAGGGTGGCCGGGGTTGCAGGCTTTGAGGGAAGCGGTTTGTTCTCCTGGCTGGAGTTCAGTGCCAACCTCCACCCCTGCGCTTGGAGCCGTGGGTTTTGGAATCTGGGGGTGGGGGGAGGGGGAAGCCAGGGCAGAGGGGCCCGCAGCAGATGGGGGACGCAGCCGGGCTGTGTCCTGCCCACATCCAGCTGGCCCCAGTGCCTGCCTCTCCCCTCCCTCAGCCATCACTCTCCTCCCAACCACTGGGCTGCAGACGCACCAATGAAGGCCACGTCTATCCTGTCAGGCTCTGAAGGGAGGCTGGCTGAGCAAGGTATCTTGGGTCCTCATATTCACCCCTCTGCTGACACCTGGGAGACCAAGGGGCCACCTGCTGCCCAGTCTCCCAGTGTCTATTGGCTCATCTGGGTCCCACAGCCTCTGCCGACAGCAGGTGTCAGGATAGGAGGGGGAGAAGAGGGAGAGGAGGAGGAAGAAGGAAGAGTGGAAGGGGAGGAGGAAGAGAAAGAGGAGGGGAGGGAACGGAGCTCTCTCAATGTGGATAACTGGGTGAACCTCTGGTCCACGGCACACTATCAGTGTTTTGTTACAAAACAGGTATGGAATAAACATTGACTCACAAATCTGCACACTCCTGTGGAAGTACTGGAGGGTTATTAGGTAAAGCAGGATAGAAATAGTGATATTAGAATTTCTACTCCTTCTACCTTGCAAGGCTGGGAAGATGAGTTGGGAAACAGAGAAAGGTAGGTGCAAATCTTGCCTCTGTCTCTTCCCAGCCTAACCTGGCTTGGCTGTCACAGTGGGATGGCCTGTGTCCTGGGCCAGGGATTTACTAGGACCCTTTACAGTCAGTGAGGGAGTTGGCCCTTCTTGTCTCCCTCCTCCCCCCTTCCCCCACCCGCCAGGACTTCAAGCAAGGGAAGCTATAGACTTGCATATACAAAGTTATTCTTGGGTGTACAAAGTTAGACTTTAGACTTATGTGCATCAAGTTTGATCTAGGCCTGCAAAGTTAGACTACACATACAGAGTTAGACTTGCATGAACAAGGTTAGACTTGCAATACCTGCAGCTCTGCACTGCTTGGGTTCTGTATTCGAGTACAACCCCGCCTCTACACTGAATGTGTGCAGATGTTTTTCTTGCTGTGGTTCTGCCCAGCAGAAGGGCCAGTGGCAGTGTGGACACATGTTGGGGACTGTGGGTCATGCACAGAGCATGTACAGTATAGGAAAACGTGGCCTTTGCACAGATGCCATGCCATTTTATATCAAGGGTCTGTCAGTCTCCGATTTGGGGATTGGTGGACATCCTTGATCCCTATGGATACCGAATATTCATACCAGAGCAGTACTAATAATTAACCTAATACATTCAAAAAATCTTACTGCTGTTTGATTACTGCTGGGTTTTTTTTTTCCCTCTCCCAATACTGGGACTTGAACTCAGGACCTTGAGCTTGCAAGGTGAACACTCTACCAGTGAGACACACATGCTCCCATGTTCTCCTCTGGTTAACTTTGTTTTTTGTTTTTTTTTGGGTCCAGTCGTGGGGCCTGAACTCTGGGTCTGGGCGCTGTCCCTCAGCTCTTCAGCTCAAGGCTAGCGCTCTACCACTTGAGCCACAGCGCCACTTCCGGCTTTTTTCTCTTTGCTTATATGGTGCTGAGGAATCGAACTCAGGGCCTCAGGCATGCAAGGCAAGCGCTCTACCACTGAGCCACCTTCCCAGCCCTGAGCTTTCTTTTGCTCAAGGCTAGCGCTCTACCACTTGAGCCACAGCGCTACTTCTGGCTTTTTCTGTTTATGTGGTATTGAGGAATCGAACCCAGGGCCTCATGCATGCAAGGCAAGTGTTCTACCACTGAGCCACCTTCCCAGCCCCTCCTCTGGTTAACTTTGGAGATAGGGTCTTGCACGCATCCTGCCAGTCTCACATCTAAACTTCCAGCCTCTACAGGTGTTCCTCGTGGCTAGGATGATGGAGGCAAGCCGGTCTCCCCATCCAGATTACTCCACGAGTAGGTATCTGGTGCATTTTTCTCCCTGGGCCACCATCCTTCCCATTCTCGGCCTCCTGAGGGTACAGGCTTGATTGTGCATATCTAATGATCCCAGACTGAGAACATAGGCCTGACAATAAGTGAGTCCACACCCCAGACCCCTCCCCTGCAAACCACCTCCACCGCTTCTGCCTCTGGTGCCGGCCCCAGCCCCAGCTTCTCCAGAGACACCGGGCAAACAACCGTGGGGACACTTCTGTGCACACCTCAGCTCTCCGAGATCCAAATCAACACACTATCTCACAGCTAAGGAAACAGGCTCTCTGGCCGGGGGGCCACCAGTTCAGAGAGGTCACAAACATCCCTCCTGAAACCGAGGTCCCTCTGGCGAGTGCCAAGCCCGCCGCCGCCAGGCAGAGCGGGGCCCTCGGCCGTGGGATTCTCAGGTACACGTATCCAGTCTTTTTTCCTTCAAAATCCACTACGACATAAGGAACAAAGAGAAGGGTTGAGTCTGAGTGAAGGGGATGCTGGATTTGCTGGCATCGGACAAAATCAGGCAGAAGTAAGAAGTCCTACTTATTGGTTTAAGACTCGGGTGCGTCTGCAACTGGGTAGCGCCAGTGGTGGCTGCAGGAAACAGAATGAGGATTGGATGGCGTCGTGAATCACCTCCTCCGGGGTGCACTGTCAGCCTCATTCTTCATCCACACCCTCAATGAGAGAGAAAACTTAAAAAAAATGTATTGATGGTCTGGAATGCGGGCGAGGCCCAGAGATGGCCCAGAGACCCGTAACCCAATGGAAGGGACCAACAGCAGTCTGTGATGGGAACTGGCCTGGTGCCCAGCGTGCTGAGGTCGTGGCGTTGGGAACCTTGCTCGGTCCCTGTGCTGAGATGGTGGCCACCAGCTGTGTGTGTTGTGCCTTTAGTCTCTGCCGTCCTCTGAGGCCGGCACTCCTGTCACCGTGTCCCAGACGAGGTGGGTCAGGGGATTGGAGAGAGGCAAGGGGGTCCCCCAAATCCACTCCGCCACCCTGGCCCGTGACCTTTCACCCTGTCACATTACAGACGAGGCCGCCGGGCTCAGAGAGGCCGTGGGCACGCTGAGACGCGACCCCGGTGCACCCCGTCTACGAGACACAGAAGATGAGTTGGGTCCCAGTGGCTCACACCTATAACCCCAGCTACTTAGGAAGCGCGGTCACAGTTCAAAGCCAGCCCAGGATGGAAAAAAAAAATCAGTGAGACCAATATCTCCAATCAACCACCAAAAATGCCAGACGCGGAGCTGTGGCCCAAGTGATAAAGCACAAGTGTTGTGCAGGGAAGCTGAAGGGACAGTGCCCAGGCCCTGAGTTCAAGCCCCAGGACTGGCACGGAAGGAGGAGGAGGAGGAGGAGGAGGA